GCCGTCAGCCAGAGGAAGACTCCAGCAGGAGGGAAAGAACAAGGAGGATTTGAATCTGTCTGCGGCAGAAGGGGCTGATAAGCCACAAGATATGCAGCCTGGTCACAGTAGCTGCAAAGAGGACTTGGCCCTTCCAGAAGTGGGGTAGGAAGATACCTTACTGCGCTGGAAATTTGCAGCAGTGGTAGCAGAAATTTGGGTAGTGGTGGAGAAGGATGGAGGAGCAGCTGGGGAGGCCCCCATACCAATTTTCTCTGCATCTAATTAGCAGCTTCTGAAGCCATCTCTGTGTTTGGCTCCTCAGTACAGAACAGCCAACAACTTTTGGCTTGTGGCCTCCATAAAGCTATTTCCTACTGCTGAATGTCCTTCCAAGGATAATTTGCCTGCTGCACTGATACTGCTCTTGGGGAAGCACAGGAGAGGGACAGCAGCACCACCAAATAACCAGAGACACTGGCTTTGCAATCCAGCCAGCTGCAGGGCAGCGTTCCTGATGCCCTGCACACACCACGGTCCCAAGCTATGGAGTTGCAAGCAGATGTCACTGAGATCACAGCCAAGACCTCAAATCACTAGACTGACACGTTTTCTTCTCAAGCCACCATCCCTCTTCTAAACCTTCTCAACTATCTCTTACAGAAAGGCATTACGCTGAAGGAGACGAGACAAGTTAAGTTCCTGCCTGTAGAGCAAGGAGCGACCACAGAGAGCAGCCGGTTTCCCTGAACGCAGGTGGGGAGCTGGGGCTCCAGACAGCAACAGCTCCGCAAGCTGTCAGGACACCACAGGCTTGATGGAGACAGAGAGAGCAGAAGGTGGACAGCCCCAAACATGCATGGCCCATACAACAGATTTAGATAGAGCAGGAGCAGGGAGATTAATGCACCGCCTTGGCTCCCCCAAAAGCAACAGCAATATGAGAAAGAAAAGGCTGAGTAGTTTGGGACGAACCAGTCACTAGTCCAAGTTCAGCCCCGTCCTGAAACCTCATCTCAAATAACTGCACCATCCAAGCTGTGGAATAGCTGCTGCTGCCTTGGAGACCTTGCTTACTGTTCCACCCACAGGCCCTCCTTTGCTCAATTCCGTGTTTTATCCCCACTGGGACAAACAGAACAGTCCCTTGCCACTAACAGTTTAGAAATTATGTGGTTCTCCAGGCCCTCCAACCTTCCTTCTCTCGAAGGCCTAGCCATGCTCTCCCAAGGAGAGCGGGTTCAGAGAAAAGAAGGCGACACCATCCCAGCCTAATACCTTGGCATGTCAAAGTTTAAACACTGTAAACCTATCAGGTTGTATTTGTTTAAAAGTGAGCCTCCAAGCCCAGCACCCCCTGCGGCTCAGACCACCTCTCTTCCCTTGGGAAAACCATCTCAACATGCTATACAATGTCATCTCCAACTCTGTGCTTCAAGAACACAGCTTTGGTGCCTTCTGCCTCCCAGGTGGGAGCTCTACCTGCATGACACCCCTTGATGCTGACAAGATTATCCCACAATGCTGAACACCCCTTGTGCAAATACAGTCTGGGACAACAGAATTTCTGTGCCAGCAGATGTCTCCTACTCGATGACGTTAGCTAATCCAACAAAGCACTCTTCTCAGCACAGCTGAACCCACTGCAGAGCTTCGGGGAACAAAGCCACTCAGCTATAGGTATGCCTCGTTCTCACCCATGGCTCTCATGATTATAGTAGCAAAACTATGGTTGCCCAGGTCACACACCCTGGGTTTGAGAAGCTGGGGGTGCCCAGGCATCATTTGACTACATGAGCGGTTTTCAACCTGTCATCTGCCAACTGCATTTACAAATTCCACCAAAGGCAACTAAGAGAAACAAGCCTTTCAGCTACAGGCACCCTCTAGCTGCACTGGAGACTTTCAGGGATTCCAAAACAGGTTGAAACACCACTGCATGGTGATCCAAAACACTCAGAGACCTGGCCAGTGATCCCACTGCTGTGAGGAAGTCAATATTTACTGGAGAAAATCAAAGGATGGTGGTTACTGCAGTAAACTGATGCACTAGAGACAAGTCTGAATTATATTCACAGCAACAAGAGCTGGGGCTGAGACGTGTCTACCTGGCATGTGAGGCCAGCAGGAGTGAACATTTCCAGATCAGACTAGGGAATATTCCAAAGAAGACAGAGTTGGAAAAGAGAGTCACAGACTCCTACATAGCTCACTTCTACCCTTTCATGGGAGCCACGGGAGCACTTACAGTTGATATCATCACCAGAGTTAAAAGATTTACATCATTAGCTACCAGCAGCAGCAAGCAAATAAAAGGGGGAGGGGGAGAGAGAAAGAGGAGGGAGAGGGGGCGGGGGGAGAGGGAGGGAGGGAGAGAGAGAATGCAGATGGATGGATGCTGCCCACCTCCCCCAGCTCAATGAACAAGCAGCTCCCCAAAGATGCCCAGTGAGCAGACCTGCTGCGGCAAGACAAAGATGACTCTGTATTGTCCGGCTAGGAAATGAGGTTGCATATCGTTTCTGGTTCTAAGACAAGGTTTTTGTTAGCATAAGGTAGAAAATGGCCAGTCCAGAAAACTGCCACACTTTCAATCTTCAGAGTAGGTCCAGCATGGTAAGCACAAAGCAAAGACACTCCATCATACATCAGCAAGAGCAAAACACTCCCTAGAAGATGTCCACTCCATTCCAGCTCCTGGTGAAGCTCCACCATGGCACATGCTTACATAAAAAGCAAATTTTAAGTCACTACCGTATGCCACAAAAGACACCGAGAAGCTATTATATGTCAGCTTGTGCCTACCACCAACCTAGGCTGTATCTGAACCAGTGACCAAGAGGTGAAAGGCCCATGCCCCATTATCAGTCTCCAGAGACGTGTGATCCCCTCAAAACAGTGGGTTCCTGACAGGTATTTTCAAAAGGGCACAAGCAATTACGAGAGCTTTACAAATCACTTGACAATATGCCCGTTATACAACGTATTTTCAGCAAATAGCAGCCTTTACACTGGAAATAAATAGAAAAGAGCAGTAGATGGGTGCTAGATGGAAGAACATTAATTCTCCATCACATTTCATCCCTAATGGACTGAAGTACAAATGTAAGTATGGGCATCACCTACTTTAACTGCCATAATTTGCCCACTTGGTTTGTGGACCATTTTGTTGACAGAACCATAAGCGCCTCGTCCAATTTCTCCAAGGTCTTTCAAGTCCTCTGCTGTAAAATCCCAATGTTGTTCAGGGGAAATCTTCAATTTTCCTGATGATTCAATGCTGTGTGTTCTCAGTCTCTCTCTGTCAAAAATATTGGGAAGCAATTTTTCCACATTTTAAATAGTCTGCAAATTTCTCTTTTCAGCACTTGATTAAACATTAAAAGAGAGGGGTTCACAAAGGCTACAGCAACAATCTGATTCCACAAAGGATTTTGGTTGGGGTGGGGGGTGCAGGGGTGAGGGAAAATGTTAAATCAAAAATGACATACACTTGCCCACAGCATCAATTAAGGATAAGTTTCTCCAGCTGCGGCACAAAATTCAATGTGTCTCATATAGTAGAGTCATTCTAATCACTCATTTACACATTTCTTTCTACTTTGCACAAAATACATCAGGCTTCAAAAGCAGGATCTAGTAACATGCAGAACCAAGAGCCTGAAGAGCACTCCCCAGCCCCATCTCCCAAAGCTTCGGCTGCTCTACACCACTGCACTCCCAACAACTGTCTCCCTTCTAGCTGGGTTTCTATGCAACATAGGCAAGCTCTTCTGTCTGAATCAAGGATATTAGGAAGAGTTTGCTCTTAATGGAAAACTGCAATTAATTTTAAAAATTAAATAATTTTCGGTAATCAGTTTATTCAAAACCAAATAGAGAGCCAATTATTTGTATTTATAAAAAACAAGCTGTTTGTGACATATAAAACCAAAAACTGCCTGTTCAAGCGTGTCTGTTCAAGTGTGTCTTTACCAAACACCTATATTAACGTTGTCAGGCAAATATTGCTCCTACTGAAGCCTTCAGGATTTGTCCAGGTGGGGAGCAAACCAATGCCCAAAATTTGTAGGACAGAAGAGTTCAGTGGTTGCTTTAAGGTGCCCCCAATTACTCATCCAAATGAGCAATGCTATCATTGAATTAGTAGGAAATTCACAAGTATTTTCAACACTTTTCATCTTAAAGTGCCATGCAAATTTTCAGGTTTTTATTAATTAATTAGCTGATTCACACTTCTTAGGTCATAAAGTAAGCCAAAAGCCTGAGTTTCCCACTTTCAAGCAGCATTAACAGCATTAAAGACAGTTCCCGCTGCGGGACACACCGATCTCATGCAGATATTAAAGCACACAGGTACTTCTGACCACCTTGTGTACAAGGGAGATTCTGTCAAACTCATCCCTCAGACTCTGATCACTTCTCTTGGGCATTTGATCAAGCCACCACACACTCATCCAGGGTCCAGCCCAACCAGCAGAACAAACATGAAATATTCAACCAAAGGCATAAAGCTTATCGAGTTTATCAGACAGAGGAATAAACACATCATGGCTGATTCCACGCTGATAAATGCAACCCTTTGTCAACCAGGAGCTGCGAACGCCGCCCAGCCGGACGGGAGGGCGCACCCAGCCACGACCTCCACCGGGTTTTGCGAGGCCAAGGAGGTCAGGCCCAGAGGCCACTTGACTGGCGCAGCTACGGTTCAAAGGGCTTCATCTGCTGCCCGGCCGCCTCCCTGCGGCGCTTTGGTTTAGCGCTTTCCAGGCCTTGAGCAGCTGCACGTCCCGAACCCCTGACCCGTTCAATGAAAGCCTCGCCGAACAGCTCTCCTCACCACTCCTGCGCTGCGCCTGCCCTGGTTTTTCCTGCTCTCTAGCCTGCCTAGCTCGAGATTTTCAATCTGCTGCTCCCTACGGGGTCCCTCCACTGCCCTTACAAATAATGCAGGAAACCTACTGATAGTGCTACAATGCAGCACAGATGTGAGGGACACAGCAGCCCGTGGAGCAGAGGTGGCACCCCTTTGTTAGCCTTATTTACGTATCCTTGAGGTTTTGCGCATAATAAAACACTGCATTGACTGGGGTTCTCCATGGAGTTTGCTTACTAAAAAGCAAGGAATGAAAACAAGGCAGTAAAATGATCAAAAAAAGAGAAAAGAACAGAGGAAAAAAAGAAAAAGAAAAAAATTAAAGAAACGTGACTTCCAGACTTGCCAGCTGTCTTGAAGGCAGATTACGTTGGAACCTGCATGAACCAGTTACTACCTAACTGCTCGACCATCCTACTTTGTCAATACCACAGAAACAGTTCTTCTTTTGATGGAAGAAGGTAGGTGAGAAGCATCAAGCCGAGGAGGCATCGGCAAATGGGCATTTCCTGACTGCCTCCTGCCGGCTGGCGGGCAGGAAGAACCATGACCATTGAGAGCTAAATCTTCTTCAAAAAGGTGGGGGGAAAAAAGGCAGAGAGTTGTTACCAGGATGGTAAAATGTGACATTTGATTTACTGAGCAAATCCTTTCCATCTCTTATTTCAAAACGTTTCATATTGAAGTTCTCACAGACTTAAAAAATTTAGATGCTGACGTGGTTTATTCAAATAAAGCAATTAAACCCATCTCCACTCTTCCCTCTGTTTTTCTGCACAGGAAACTTTGCTTTTCTCACCCTACACCAGAAGAGAAAGCAAATTTGCACTCATTATCTTCGTGTTACACAAGAAGCCTGTTTCTCCCCAGCTGCAGCATGAAAGCAGATCTGTGCCATTGTTCCTGCAGCTGCAGGACGGTGGTTCGAGCAGCCGGGAAGCTGTGAGCTAGGAAATACCCCCTCCGCGGGTCCGCACCGGGCGCCCCCTGGAGCTGTATTCTGGCATGGAGCAGCAGACCTCCAGGGGTTTGGATCAAGATGTACCATCACCATCCACCCACAAAACCTCACGTGCTGGAGCTTGGCTCCATTTCCATCACGTATACAACGCCACCTGCCTTGCACCGCAAACACCGATCCTGCTTATCTTTTTTCAAATACCCAGGGAAATGGTCAAATAACCAAATGACAAGTTTGACAGAGTGACAGACACTTTAATATAGATTTTTGTCACATGTAAACAATGCAGTTTTCCTTTAAGCAGCATGGCCTATCTTAAGAGTCAGTAACCGGAATGCAATGATTACTTTTAGCACCAAAAACCCTATGCTTTATATCAGGAATTTTTAGTGTAAATCAAAATCCCAAGAGATTTCCATGTCAAGAAGGCAGCTCAAAAAAATGCAAATCTAGAACACAGACTCTGCACTGATATAAAATGCGAATTTTCTGATGTAAAACTGAATGAGGCACCAAGAACAAATAAATCATCAATGCAGTACCTCTGTTACTAGATTTGCACTGCTGCAGATACATGCGGACATAAATCCACAGGGTGAACACATCCCCAAAATACAAAAAGACCTGCCTAAACCCTGCACTACATCCCAGTGCACTGGATACTACGACAGCTTGCTTCAGAAAATAGAAGGGTGACCACACAGAACAGTGTCTAGCGAAGGTGAAGAGTAATTAATGCCCAGTCCCTCCTCCTGCGACCGATCTGACTTCAGTCCCTGTGTCTAGTGCTCATTAAAGTTTGCACAGATGTGACCATACCTAGGTCTCCTTTTACCATTTCGTTTTTAAGCTGTACAATCCAAACCTCTCTAAGGCTGGGAATGCTGGGCAAAATTGGGCATATATTCTCCAAATGATTAGGATGTGGGGCTTAATGTACGATGTAAAAAACAAATAGCTAAAGCGGGCTGGTTACCCCTCAAACAGTGAAAGTAGTATTTTCATATACACCTTAGGGTCTATAGGTCCTGATGACTTGTCCAGGACTTGAGCTTCCAACTCCTCGTCTTGCTTTTGAAAAGTTTTAAAAGAAAAAATAAAAATAAAAAACTATAGGCTCAGGAGGTCGCTGCAAATACTGCATTTGAAAGGCACCAATGCATCAGTCTTCCTGCAGATGGTTACTATGCTCGTCACAGCAGTTATTCCAGGGATTAGGAGCACCAGCAAGACAACAACTCCTCCAAACAGTTGCCCTTTGTCAGAAAAGAAAACGTTTGTGGGCCCAGCTTGGCAGGAGGCAGGCGGATGGCTGGCGCCAGGCACCGCAGCCGAGCCAAGGACGGGGTCACACGCCTTGGGGACGGGGGGTTGCTCCCTGCAAGTTTGGCGAGCTAGACCCGTGTGCAGGAAGGTTTGCCACGGCTCGAGGCCCACAACACCTCCTGGAGAGAACCACGGAGACGTTGGGAAGCTCTCGGGCAGGCTGTGTTAGTTCCCCCAGCCCTGCTGTTAGCACTGACTGCAGGGATGCCAAAACTTTTTAAAAGAAGCATCTCCTTGGCACGAAAAAGGACCATGGGGAGAAGCAGAGGGAAGTTGGTGGATTTTTTAAGCTAAATTGAAAGTTATCAGACATGAAGCAAAACCAGAAGGATGCTGTAGGTAGCTCCTATCTCCTCTTTGCTCTCCTTTGTTAAGGGAGTTCTGCAGGACTCAAGCCCAAAAGTCGTGGTATTTGACATGACAGCTGACATGAGTAAAACACATCTGCAGAGCCAAAAAAATCCAAGCAAACCAGCTGTGCTTCACCAGCCTGCCTAGTGCTGGATTTCTCTAGGAAGTGTCCCATTAAAGCTCCTATTTACATTAAGTTAATGAGAATATATTCCACTTCTCCACAAGTTTGGTAAAAAAGCTGCTCAACGCAACAGGATTTTAGAAACTGATTTGTGGTCAACCAGCCAAAGGAATGCTAAAACTAAACTCCTAGCAAAAAAAGTTCCACGTAAACTGCAGGGTTTAATGACACTGTGCACTGTTCGGAACTTCAGAGTAAAATCACAGCTTGTGACTTTGGCTAACACATTTCTGCCAAGTCTTTCAAACAGGCTAGAGAGGTTGTAATGCTTCTATCTCAATGTTGGTGGCACTTATAAAACAGTTTTCAGACCCTGCAGGCTAACACTAACAAAACAGCAACCCTAGTTTAAATTTTGCCAAAGAAAGTCTCTAAAAGAAATGTTCTTTCTTTTTCCTAGAGAGCTGAAAATGTTGGTGCTTTCACAAATATTTCGGATTCTCATAAGGAGAGATTTCTGCTTCCAATAAGCTGAAGGGCAACGGCATCCTTGCAAGAGGGGCAGAACTAAACTGGTTTTGCTTTGACCTGTGTAAGCTGTCCTGAGCTTTAGTTGTATTTAATAACA